TTGTTCCGGAGGGCAGGCTCCAGTCCGCTCCTGACAGCCTATTGGCTGCCTTGGCCCGCTCCTGCTCAGTCAGGCGCACCCGCTTAGCCTCACGGGCGCGCCTGTCTGCCTCGTGGCGCTCTAGGGTCTCAATCGCTCGTCCAGAAGCGCTTGCAACGGAGGTCACAAGAGACGACGGGTGACGCGCGCCGGATGGTGAGGCCGGCGAAGACCGCAGGCCTCGGCCGCGCTGAACGACTGTCCATCCCTCCCTCTCCGCCGGCGCGCCCGATGATGCCGCGGGATCGGCACCACGGTGGGCAGCGGGCACTCCGGCATCGAGGAAGTGGTTGCGGGATCCATCCGGCTCCCGGGCGCCCGCCCCGCTGATGCGATCGCCGCCGCGGCCACAGCGGAGCTGGCCGCAGACACAGGCGGCGATTCTGCCCGTTGTGTCGTGGTATCCAAAGAAGTCGAATGCTGCACAGAAGCCGATGGCACCACAGACAAACCGAACGGTTTGAGGAGCTAGATAAGCTGTGGGGCAGTCATCTGGTCCACCCGATTGCTCTGTGAGGCTTGTAGTTTCGTCTTTGAGGCATAATTTACATTCGGATGGCTTTCTTCGTATAACTCCCTTGCCTCACGGAACGAAATTTCCTTTGTAAATTTGAGTGTGATTATCTCTTTCTCTTTGGCATAGGCCGGACAGGACCTGTCGAACGTGGAGTGAGGGAACTGCTCTTTGCCACAGTTTGCACACCATGGTTGGTCTGCGGTGCAGTCGTCTATGGCATGGTCTGATGAGGAACACTTACCACAAACAGCCTGGTTGCGACAGGTGGTCCTCGTATGTCCAAACCGCTGACAACCGAAACATATCATAGGGCATAAACATATCTTCGATCACGCGAAACACCAAGATCCAAGGAGCAGGGTCAGAACCACCGCAGCCGGACGCCACGACGGTCCGGGCCCCTTTCGGGGGCCGGGTGCTTTTTGTAGTTGGATATGCCATGAAATATACGTTCAGCTTTCGGCACCGGAGCTCCCTACCCACCTCGGAGCCCAACTGGGGGACGGCCCAACACTCCCTCGAGAGGTGGTTACCGCCAGGGCTACCCCGGTGCTATACGGGGCGAACGACGCCTCCCACATGGCCAGGTGTAACCAGGGAGACCCCTCCCCGTCCTGACCGTTGTTCAGCGCCGCCGCCCCTTGACCCCTTAAGTCGCTGCGTGCAGCCAGGCACCCTAAGCGGAGACCCGCTAAGAGCATCCAACCGCAGCGCAAGTGACAAGCCGCTAGACCCTGTGGGACCCCCGCGCCCCCGGATATCCTGGCCAAAGTGGAGTGTTGGAACACGCCACGACTGACCCGCACGACGCACACTTCAGCCACCAAGATCCGGTCAACGCGGGGAAGCGAGCGAGGGGGCACGGCGACCCCGATAAAACGAAGATTAATAGTGATGAGTGGGCCGGATGCAGGAAAATGGGTGATGAGAAGGGAGCGGACGAGACAAGGAGCGGGAGCTCACATACCGGCAGGGTCGCTACGCCCTATAGAGAGCAGCTTGCGCTGTCCACCCATTACCGGAGCTGGGACCCAAGGGGGCGCTAGTCCCTTAAACCGACTGAAGCCGGTGCCCCTGCGGGACGATGAGCGTTGAAGTCGCCTAAAAGAAGACATGGCGAAGGCAACACATACACTAAACGGCTCATCTCTTCCAATGAAAAAACGACGCCAGGTGGAAGATGTAAGGAACACACCATAATGTAACGGTGATTAAAATGTAGGCGCGCGGCTACAGCCTGTGGCGTAGACTGCAGGTTCACCCTCCTGGCTGGCACGCCGTGGTGGATTGCAAGGAGGACACCGCCGTGTGCGATACCGTCGGTTAATACATCGTTGCGAAACAGGGCGTATCCCTTCAGCGTGCAGTGGAAGGTAGACGCTAACTTGGTGTCTTGGAGCGGGACAGTGCCTACGGCTGCAGGACAGTGCTTACTGACGACAGCCTGGAGGTCGATGGCATTCGCCCTTATTCCTCTACAGTTTCACTGTAAACAAGCCTGTACAGGGGGCGTGCTAAAAAGGCGGTTGGAGGTCACACTCTTAAACTGGACACGTCCTCAAAGAACTGGGCTGCGCCAGTTGCAGGAGCAGACGTTTCACACTGAGAGCCACGGCTCGATTCTGCAGGAACATGCCCACTCTGGGACGAAATCTGGGGCATCCTCCGTCAGATGAAGACGGGGGACCGGCCGGGGCAAGCTTCACGCCAGCGTACCCAGTCCGGGGTGGCGGCGGGGGGGGGGGGCCATCGGCGGGCCTCTACCGGGAGTCTGGGGGTCAGCGGGGGCCTCCACTGGCCTTCTCGGCGATGGTGTACCAATGCGAGGTGCGGGCTCCTTGCTGGCACCGGACAAACGATTGGCCGCCCTAGCCCCCTCCAACTCGGCCAAGCGAGCCCGATTGGCGTCGCGGGCGTGCCTGCCTGCCTCATATCGTTCCATCGTTTCCACTGCCCGTCCGCACGCAGTGCACCGGAGGCGACGAGGGCAGCGGAGCGCCAGACGGCGAGGATGGCCGAGCCCGCGAACCATGGGCGCGCTTGACCACCGTCCATCCCTCCTCCTTCTCCCGCTAGCGACCCCGACGACACCTGAGGGGCCGACAGCACGGCGTGTTACGAGCAGAACGCAGCTGAAGAACGACCCGGAGGATCCAACTGGGCGGGAGTCGCCCGTCCCGCCGGCACCACAGACAAACCGAAGGATCGCAGGAGCGCGATGAATTGGACCGCTGAGATGTGATTGATGCTGGTGGACTGTAGTACAGAGGTTTGGGATTTTTCGGCACAATATACTTTGGGATGATTGGTCTCATACTGTTCACGTGGCTCGCGGAAAGATATGTTCTTTGAGGTTTGGAGTGACATAATTTCCCTTTCCTTCACGAAGGCTGAACAACTTCGATCGAAACTTGCGTGCGGTACCGGCCCAGCGTCATAGTTAACACACCAGGGCTGCACAGAAGTACAATGGTCTCCCAAATGCTCGAAGGATGCACACTTCCCACAGACAGCTCGATTGCGGCAGTGTGGCTTTATGCGACCAAAGCGCTGGCATTGAAAACATCGCATCGGACTCGGAACGAGGATTCTGACTTTGACAACGGCGTAGCCAATGCGGATATCTGACGGTAGATCAGGCCGGTTACATGTCAATATAACGTTGTTTGTAGGGATTTGGTCACCACCCCTCCTGGTCGTGATCCCGCGCGCTGCGGTGACCCCAAAAACTCGCAGCTCTTCGATGATTTTATCCTCGGTGACTTCACAAATGTCATAGCAGTTTATGATGCATTTTGAAAATGTTTCGAGTGGTGCGGTGTGACCGTGACTGGCACGCTCAGGTCTCGTTTTCCACCCTCGGTTCTTGCGGTGTAACCAAATTCAGTGGCTGCCATAGCTACGGTCGCATCGGTGCCGTTGGCGAACACTACCTCGATCGCGCCATCTCTCAGCTTATAACAGGGGGTGACTTTTCCGAACCTGTCGCATCCGTTTCGGCGCTGAAACGGTGAAAGCGATGCTAGGTTCCTCACATCACTCCGGAAGACCAGAACGCGTGGGGCAGGTGGAACTGACTCCGCGCTGCGCCCAAAGTTCAACGCAGTTGGTATCCCTCTCGGGGGGCGGGTGTTTTTGTGGTTTGTAGGTGTCCTGCAGTTTCACTGTTAATTTCGGCACTGGGGCTCCTCACCCTCCCCCCCCCCCCCCCCGGAGCTCGACTGGGGGAGGGCCACTCACCCAGATGGTGGTGGTGCCGTCAGGGCTACCCCGGTGCTATACGGGGCGAACGACACCTCCCAAACGGCCAGGTGTAGCCGGGGAGACCACTCCCCGTCCTGACCGTGGTTCAGCGCTGCCGCCCCTTGACCTCTTAAGCCGCTGCGCGCGGCGAGGCGCCCCAAGCGGAAACCCGCAAGGAGCACCTAACCGCAACGCGAGCAACAAGTCGCTAGACACCGTGTGGAGCCCCACGGCCCCCCACGCCCCCGGATATCCGGGTTAAAGTGGAGTGTTGGGACGCGCCGTGACTGACCCGCACGACGCGCCCTCAGCCACCAAGATCCCATCAACCCGGGGAAGCGGGAAAGGGGGTACGGCGACCCCGATAAAACGAGGATGACGAGTGGTGATAGGGCCGCATGCGGGGGTGCGGGTAATGCGGAGGGAATGGGCGGGATAAGGAGCAGGATCTCACGTGCCGGCAGGGTCGCTGGGCCTTGAAATGAACAGCTTGCGCTGTCCACCCGTTACCGGAGTTCGGACCCGAGGGGGCGCTAGTCCCCCACACCGGCCGAAACTGGTGCCTCTGCGGGGTGTGCCTGATAATTTGTTTGCGCCACTTGTATTTCGCCGACGATGAGAAAAGATTTCGAAACGTTGGAATGTATTACGATCGACGGATATGCGATTCGTCGATCACAATCACATGATGCATGATGTGAATGATTGTGCACGAACTATCTTTTAGCTTAACGACATGGCTGAATCGCAAGTCCTACCTTCCATTAACCATTAACCACACCTCGACATTTATATTTTGTCGTTCTCTATGCACTCCCCTGCTACGGAGAAGCGAGGTAAGGTGAAGGTCATGAACACACTGCGATTTTGATTTTGTCATATAAATTAACAGCCCGTTGGCCATTGATGAGCACGTCGACGATGATCCCAGTGCATTTACTACACCTACCACTGACCGCGGCACGAACGCTGAAATCGCGTCTAGCTCCGCCACTGCTCCTGCCACCGAAACCTGAGCGTCAATCGATTCTGACTACGGATCTGCCCCGCTAAACGTCCACCATGAACCCCGCTGACCCTCGCTTAACTCTGGCACAGATCCCTGGCTCCACCACGAACCCCCGCCGACCCTTGCTTAACTCTGGCACAGATCCCTGGCTGCACCACGAACCCCCGCTGACCCTTGCTTAACTCTGGCACAGATCCCTGGCTCCACCACGAACCCCCGCCGACCCTCGCTTAACCCTGGCAAAGACCGCTGGCTGTACCACGAACCCCCGCCGACCCTTGCTTAACTCTGGCATAGACCCCTGGTTCTTCCACGAACCCTCGTCAACTCTTGCTTAACTCTGGCATAGGCCCCTGGCTCCACCGGACAGGCAACTCATTCTGCCCACGGCCGCTGCATGTCTTGGAATGGACACCTGGCTAAACCAGGACCCGGAACCAGGTCTTGATCCACTCGGCTCATTTTTGGCTATGAAACAAGGGATGAGAACATTTCCCTCCGGAAAGTCAATGTTTTCTGGTAGCACAAACTAACCCAGGCTACTCGCGGTGTATATGATCTGGACATCGAAAACCCGGCAAATGGCTCTCATTAAAAACACTCTCCCCAAACAAGAGCTATCTTCAGAACCACCGAATTCTGCGGAAAAAAATGTTAGTGTCTCGCTCCACCCCGCGCAGAACACTGCCAAGGGGACAATCTTCACTCCTCAAATTCAATTTATGACCGGGGCAAAACATTGAATGGCTTCGTGCAAAGAAGGTTTGTAACGTCCCCGTCCCACAACATCCAGAGATAGCCAAAGTTGTGACACCAGTCTGCTCGTCCTCACTTCCCAAACAAATCCACTACCGGAAACTCTCATTGCTGGCCATCATCGCATCTCTGCCCCAGTTTTCACTCCGAACCCTATCCGCTCCTGCAAGTGGTAACGATTCGCTCATGGGAGCAAAATATGCAGAGTGCTCGCTGTCAGAAGTGTGTATACTATGCATAATGTATACAAGAGCTATACAATCCTGAGTATATATAGATGTGCAACGTACTTTTCCCACCAACAAAAAAAAACAGTGTAGTGGCCACCTAGACCCGGTAAGGGCTTCACACTTTTCATTTGGATGGTTTATGAATTTGATCTAAGTTGGCCTCAGATGACCTCCAGGTCACCCTAAAGTGGAGTTTTTGTGCCTGGAATAGTTTGTTCCACACCAGCACCTTGCACAGTGACGTAGTTAAAAGCACATTGTGAAGAAAACAGAAAAGTGTCGTTCTTTTGGACCGCCGGTAGACCAATTTTGAGCGGTGACCTGATCTGAACTGGCCTTTTTAGGGAAAAAAATGGTCGCAATGGACACCGCACAGTATTAACACTTACTTATGTGCCCTCAAGATCCGTCTTGACGTGTTAACATATGTTTTAACTGCATCTATCAGAACGACCTTTTTTACTTCGTGGCCTCCGGTGACCACACGTTTGACCTAGGTTAAAGAACGCAATGTGCACCCTTCATGATTTGACGAGACCTTCACAACAGCATTTTTTTTTCTCACGCGACGTCTGGAATTTGGAGATACAAGGGGGAGTGAACTTCCTCTCTCCCCTCGATCTCTCCCCTCCTCCTCTCGGCCGGGCACGGTTGTCTGAGACCCCGGCCGGGCGCATGCTAAAACTCATCGGCAAATTTGGAATGTATGTCAACTAATAATTTCCTCAAGTTCATGTCTGTGACTGTATTTTATCGAGAGGGCGAGCATAGGATCATGTTCATGGAAGACATAACAGCATGCTCATCACTTACTCAACGTTCCGTCAAGCACAAACTTCCACACGTTCTGCAAAGTTAAAGGTAACTGGCGCGAAGATGCACGTGATCTTTTTTTACCTGTGTCTGGCAAGTTACGTTTCCCAAATATCAGGAAAAGGAAAATTCGATCAGTTCAGAACGCATAAGGTATCTGGTATTGAGATTGACCCGAAGGCATGGAAGATACATGAAATATGCGCAGCGCTCTCAGTGCGGTCCTGTTCAACTGTGTCGTCAGTACTTTGTGGGCTCACTTCGGCCATCACCACTTGGGTCTAGCTTCTGCTTCTCGGGAAGACAATCGAAGCTGTTATGATCCTCACGTGAATCTAGATGTTGTCGGCGGAAAATACGAGCTAAACCACTGGCCTCGTTTTGAAGAAATTGAGAAGTGTATCCGTGGACTAGACCCAGTAACCAGGAGCAAACATCTCGTGCCGCATCCATGTGCAGGTCGTGTGCGCGTAAGTCTGAAGCTCGTGGACTTGCAGGACATCAATGTGGCTGAGAACCTGATTTCTATGAAGATCACGTATCTTGAACAATGGAAGGATCCTAGGATTATACTACCCGTTTTGATGAACACACAGTGTGGGACCAATGGTACGCTGAGATCCATGATGTATTTAGAGCCTCCGGAATTCTACCGCACTCGGCTTTGGACTCCGGATTTTTACATAAAAGCTGTTGTTCGCGCGAAATCGTTAAAATTTATCAAAAGATACCAAGCACTAATTTTGCACAGGACCAGGGCTATTCAGAATATCGTAACGCTCAATGTTGATATGATGTGCGATATGAATTTCGAGCATTATCCATTTGATACTCAAATTTGCAACGTAACCATTGAGAGTTTCGGCACATTTTACGACCGCATTGCCATTTTGTGGCATTCAGGTGGCGTAGAATTGCTCCCAGAATTCAGTTTAGCAGGGTATGAAGTGGATGTTATGCCTCAAAAACCGACTGCAGTACGGTACGCCGGTTACACGTTCCCGCGGGTTACGGTCACGCTCTCTTTTCGCCGCATTCGCATGAAGTACATCCTTCTTATTTACATCCCCAGCTTGCTGCATTTTCTCATCGCGTGGCTCGCCTTCTTCCTTCCGAAAGAAGTGTCCCAGGGGCGATGCATCATTAACTGCTCCACGACACTGTCTCTGGTCAGCATGTTATCCGTGTATACCCGGAACAGTCCTCATGGTGGTTATGTCAAGGCGCTTGATGTTTGGTGTTATTTCTCCGTTTTCTTCCAATTTCTCTGCACTCTTGATGCCATGATAGATACCCGCCTGCTCTACGCAGCGTCTAACATTAAGCGCAACCCTGTGGAAGCAGGCACTCGCCACGTTTGGGACTTGGTCACCGACGCCAGCAACTGGCTGGGAAAAGAGGTGCGTCTAGTGCGCACACAAGACGAAGGCAAGGGATTCGACGAGACACTGCGCGACATGCGGCGGCTGCACAGAGAATATCGGTTGGCGATGGCTGAGTCCTCCCAAGAGACCAAGCTGAAGCCAGGGTTTAAAAGGCAGAATATAATCCAGTCGAACTACCGCTTCTCGCCTCGGTACTACCGCTTTCTCAAGCTGCTCGTGATGTACCAGGAATGGTCTCAGTATCTCTGTCTGGCGTGGTACCTGATATTTCTCCTGGGATATTGGGTGCTGTACGTGCCGTAAGTAATTAGCTCGGCATTCTTGTTGACGTGCGTGCTGGCGAGCAATATAAGGCTGATGTGTGCTTGGTATGTTTCAAGAAATGACGATATGCTAGTGCAAGAAATGACGCCACGCTAGACAGGCCTAGAAAGGTCAATGGAGGACGCTGAAGCGACACATGGCAAGAATTCATCCGAGGCTTCCTGCTGTCAAGAGGAACAGTGGCTTTGGGGTAAGAGATCAGGTATCGCCGGCATAGGCTTCGCACACTACCTGCCGCGCAGCAGATTGAACGATGATAATGATAATGATTTGGGCTTTTGCGGCGCACCGACTACGTTGGTCATATGGTGCCCATAACCTACTTGTTATCTAACAGTTGCCCGAAAAAGCGGGGAGATAAGGTTACGTTTGACATACGGCATGAAATTGTATGACTTCAAGATAACTAAACATGCCACCGTCATTCACTGAGCTGGTGTCGTCTCCCAACATACCGGCTTTTTGTACTATATTCTGTTCATTGAGACACCGCCAACCAGTCAGTTCGCTAAAGATGTTGTGCGGTAGGCGCTCGTGATTCAAGTAAATGCATATCGATGAAATCTTCGAGAATAATTACTTGCGATGAGTTTTGTTACAACGTGCACACTCTTGCTTCAGCACACAAAACCTTATTTTGCCAAACTTGTTTAAAATGGTTACGGCAGAACGAAATTAGGAACAAACCATACATCCAGTAACCGGGTGCCGACGCGGCCATACCATGCACAATGCGCAATAGCAGTGTAGCAATTCTTTGCTGAGTAAAAAATGTAGGTTAACTGAATGGAATCATTTACTTAATAGGAATCACACCTTCCCGGAATTCAATCTAACCTAACCTAACCTAACCTAACCTAACCTAACCTAACCTAACCTAACCTAACCTAACCTAACCTAACCTAACCTAACCTAACCTAACCTAACCTAACCTAACCTAACCTAACCTAACCTAACCTAACCTAGCCTAGCCTAGCCTAGCCTAACATAACCTAAACTAACCTAACCTAGCCTAACCCAACCCAACCCAACCTAACCCAACCTAGTATACCGTATACTGATATGAACAGTCGTGCTCTGAAAAGAGGTGTGAGTCTCAATTTCCGCCTGGCAATGCAGTGTGCGAGGCCTGTGCCGACAACACCCTAAATGCATAATCTTTTTCTGATTTGTGTGATATCATTCTCGAGTGCCTGTTGAGCTATGCCAACTGGTAGATTTGCAGCTACAGGGGTGTAAATTTGCCAAATGCATAGGAATGGGAGGGGGAGCGGCATCAGGAGGAAAAAGAACTGAGCCTTCTTCCAAAATGCACTCAACAAAACACAGCAACCGTTCCAAAACATTTTTCTTCCCCATTTGACACACTTGCTTTTCAGAGTTGGAAACAGGGGCATAGTCTTGCGAAATCACTTGGGGCTTAACCATAAAAAATGACCTCATTGTGCATTTAGGAGTGAAAGTCGTGACTGCATGAAGACCATCACAAACATTATGTTTGGTCATGGCTCATTTATTAGCTTTCGCCCTAATTCGCTGTTTTCTATAACGTGTAATGATGTCGTAGCGGGGGGGGGGGGATATCGATGCGAAATCCCCCACATAGCTTTTTGAAATTAAGGAAGGTAGAGCCTCGCGAAATCAAATCAGTAGATTGTTCCCAACTAGACTTTGCATTTGATGAGAAGTTTCGCGTCGCTAGATCAAAAATAGATCAAGGGTTAAATTTTCCTAAAAATGAAATAATTTTCAAATTCCATGTGCGGGGCCACATCCAATAGCGACACGAAATCTAAACCGGCACGCTTATTGCTCGCTTCTGAGTGCTGTTGTTAATTAGGGTTTTTGGGCGCGCCGACTGCATAGGTCAGATTGCGCCCATAACGTTGTCATTTAGTCACAAGGTGAATATAAGGAGCGAAATATGATTTTTGTAAGGAATGAAAACAGTCGGCCATCTTCAAGAACTTGCGAGTGATTACCGAGAATGTCACCTAGCGTAAAGGAATGTTACCATTACGCCCAAAGTAAAGCAAACGCTCCCGAGCGAAAGGTGGACATAGCTTAACTACGTGGTGCACCGTCAGAAAAGCAGGGCAACGAGGGCATCGCGGTCTCTCACCACCACACAACAAATACCGGTGGGTTTCGTATGTATGGCCAATACGCAGCCTGCAAAGCACAACTCCTTTTTGCCTCGAATCGCGGAAGCTGGAAGACCACGGGCCCAACTCGGGTTTTATATGTTTCAACTTGCTACTTGTGTCATTATTCCAAGAGAACTGCCGCTTGTGTTGCAAAAAAGGCAAAATGGCTGGATAAAAAAATTAGGGCAGGAAGAGGCAATCTGCGCGTACATGGTGCATGTGATGCGCGTTTTGCAGCTGCGTCAGCGAGCTCATTTCCAACGATACCGACATGACTGGGAATCCAACACAGCGTCACATTCTTTCCAACTCGGTCCAATGCAGTGAGACGCATCAAAATGTCTTGTAAAAGGGGACATGATGGGTTGAAAGTTCTCAAGGCCAAGAGGCCGCTCAGAGAATCTGTTAAAACGAGGTGCAGGGACTCATTCCCAACTTCAATAAAAGAAAGCGACTTGATTATAGCCACCAGTTCGGAGGCGAACACCGACGTATGCCTTGACAGTGTGAATGATCGTGTGGCGGTTCCACTTGCAAATGCACAGCCGACCCCGTCTGAAGTTTTGAATCCGTCCGTACAAGTTATTGTGTGCCCCTCGTACGACGCCACGTGCTCTAGCCCCATGCAACGGAACAAGTCAGGTGCCAGGGTATGCTTCCTTGTTTCAGCCAGCGAAGTGTATACCCTGGGCGGAAACAGAAGCCATGGAGGGTGTGGCATATGCTGCACCGGCATCACGATGCAAAGAGGAATGCCACTGGCATCAAGCAGAGACCTTATCCTAGCGCGAAAAGAGGCGGAATGTTGGTCCGGACCACCATGAAACACAGCCGTTGTTCGACGCAAGAAAACTCCACCATATGTCGGGTGGAAAGGGAATTGCCGACGCTTCAGAGCATATTTCATGCCAACCATTTCTCGCCTAGCAGACAGCGGCGGCTCATTGGCCTCAACAAGGCTTGCGACAAGTGACGTTCGAAACGCTCCTGTGATGATGCGGAGTGATGTGAGGCGGATGGTGTCAAAAGGACGCTTGCTTGACTTACTTGCGCTGTCATATACAAAACATGCGTAATCAAGTTAAGAATGGATAAGGGAACGGTATAAAAGCATGGGAGTTTTCCTATCCGCACCATATGACGTACGTGCCACACATTTCAAAATGTTTAAAGCTTTAAAGCATCTGTCTCGTAGGGTTCTAAAGTGCGCCTTATATGTCAGACGACTGTCGAGATATACCCAAGGTATCTGGTTACCGACTCAGTGGGAATGGGTTGGCCGTAAAGACGGAGAGTCAAGCCACCGCATTGACGACGGCGACATCAGTGCATGGTGACCGCTTTCGCAGAGGAAAACCGAAAACTATTTATGGTGCTGAACCTTTCCAGATAGTCTACAGCCAACTGGAGCTGGCGCTCCATTACATGCGTTCTTGATGCTCTGGTCCATGTAGTAAATTCATCTACGAAGAGAGCGCGGCCGATTGACTGCGGTATGACGTCAACAATGTCGTTTATCATGATGACAAAAAGCGCCACACTTAAAACGCTCCCCTGAGGCACACTATTCACTTGCTTAAAAGGTGCTGGCACCTCATTATCTACACGCACAGGGAAGAAGCGTTGAGCCAAAAAATCCCCCAAAAAGGTGCCCATATGACCACGTATGCCATGCTTGAAGAGTTTTAAGAGGATACCTCGCCGCCACCTGGTATCGTTAGCGGCTTTAAGATCGAAAAAGACAGCACCTACATAACGTTTCCCTTCAAAACTTTGCCGAATCGTAGTATCGGGCGTCAAAAGGTGGTCCACCGTACTACGATTCTTCCTAAAACCGCACTGTGCATTACTAAAAATGTCATGCTCTTCTAAGAACCATGTCAGTCAGACATTGACCATTTTCTCCATCAACTTACAGAGTGGCGATGTAAATGCGATGGGTCGAAAATGTAGGGGGATCTAAACCACTCTTCCCCGGCTTTAAAAGTGGGACCACAGTAGCCTGTTGCCATGAGACCGGAAAGTCGCGGCTAACGCAAAGTGAATTAAAGATTGTCAGCAAAACTTCCAACAGGCTACCAGGAAGATGCTGAAGCATGTTGTTATGCACACCACCAAGACCCTCTGACACGCGCTGCAGCATGCTTGTAGCATGCTTTAATTCGACCATGGTGAATGGATCATTATACGACATGTGTTCGGTGACAGAAAAGTCTATGTGTGCTTCTTCGTGTCCCATTCTATGGCAAGCAAACTGCCGTTCCGTACTGACGCCACGACTGCCCTCCGATATTCCTCGGCCAATCTCATTATTCAGCATCCACTAGATGTATGACGTCGTGGCCATTTACATGTAGTGCGGGGAGTAGGGTAGAGCAGAACTGACCGGAATTCACTTGATCCGTGACCAGACCTGAGCAGTAGGTGTGCGACGTGTAAGTGTACAGATATAATTTCGCCACGAATTGCGCTTCGCCTCCCTGATCGTTCGACGCGCGAACCCCCTTGCTTTCTTAAACGCAATCAGATTGGCCGTGCTGCTCCTTCGGCCGAAAGCCCGAAAAACGCGTTTGCGCGCACGGATGGCGTCACGACACTCAATTGTCCACCACGGAACGGGCGTGCAACGTGGATTACACGAAGGGCGGAGGTGCACCCGTCAGCACATTTCAAAAGCGGGGCATTAAAGTCCTCTGCAGAGGTAGGCACACTGTCGGGATGTGTGGAAACCGACGCTTCCAGTCGAGCTTCAAAATTCTTCCAATCGGCCTTCTTAAAATTCCAACCCTGGGTCCGGGTACCTGGAACCCCAGCACTACGGAATCTCAACCACGCCGGAAAATGGTCACTTCCTGGTGGATCGTCGGCCACTGTCCACTCCAGGTGTGGCATAAGCTGCGGGCTAGAAAGCCTGAGATCAAGGGTTGATGTCCGTCCGGAAGGAAGAGTAAAATGTGTCGGCCGTCCGGTGTTAAATATGCACAGGGAAGCATCGTGACTAAAGGTTTCGCACAACCTCCCGCGTGTGTTTGCTTCATCACAGCCCCAGGCGGTGTGATGGGCGTTAAAGTCTCCTAACATTAAGACCGGCGGAGGAAGCTCAGCCATCAGGTGCCTGAGCTCTAATGATGGAAAACTGGCGCCAGGTGGCAGGTATCGTCAGCAGATTGTAATGATGCGACTGTTACAACGAACACGTGCTGGTACAACCTGAAGCGATGACTTCAAGTCCACCCTTCGGGCTGGCACGCTGTGATGAACGGCCAAGAGGACACCACGGTGCGCAACAGTGTCAGCAGACATGTCTAGCTCGGAGGTGAAAGCTGACGCGTGTGAAGGCAGTGTGACTACACCTGCATC